TTGATTTTTCATTTGGTATTTTTTTTACTTTTCTCTTACATGTTACGATAAAAAAATTCACTATTTGGTTAAACGTTTTCGATCTCATTTTGGATTGCACTCTTTTCATATATCATTTTTTTTTTTGATCGACATTCAAACCAGAGCCGGTTCTGACTTTCTAAAGGTCCAAAGATTTTTTTTTGCCTCTTAGCTAATTTAAAAAAAAAAACAAAAGAAACATTTGACAGATTCGAACCCATGATCTTCTAACTTCTTATAGAGAGACTTGACCGACGGAGCTACTAAAGCACATGCTTGACAAGCTTCTATTCCGGACCGACTCTGATTTAAACGTTAAATTAAACGAAAAGTTGGTTAACCAAATCGAAACCGTATGAGAAGCTAAAGTAGCGTTACAAACCATGTCGTACCATTCAGATTACAAGGAAAGTAATAAGTAGAGAAAGAATAGAAGCGAGTAGTAATGTGGAAAAAGCTAGCCGAACCTCCGGACCGGACGTACACCATCTTCACTATCTCTAAAGACACGGTCAACTCTTAATGCATATTTCACCATGCATTTTTTTTATAAAGAAATTCTATTTCCTGTTTCATTTTTTGTTATGATAAAATTGTCTAAAATACGATGCAAAATTACTTTGTTGTTTTTCTTTTTGCATTGATCTCCATTGTTTTCATCTTAATATTTGTTTTCTCCAAGTCTCATTTTTCCGCCGGAGAGTTTCGATGACAGGCGGGTTTTTTTTGCTACGAGTGAAGGTCATGTCTTTTGCTTCGGAATTGGCCATCCTTCTAGCCTTGGATCTGCTCTCGGCATGAAGAGATCGTGGGTTCGTTGGAGAGTACTCCAAGGGATTGTCTCCGCCTATGCCGCATCTCGAAGCACTTGAAGTTTTACCTCCTCGTTTTTTTTTTAGTTTTGTCTCGTGTTTCGGCGGTGGTTCTTGTGCCGTCGCCGGCAGCGTTGGTGAAATCCCTAGCCGGCGGCCCTATGCTGATAGGGTTTTCCACAACTTTGTTTAGGTTTAGGTTTTATGTCATGGACCTTGGTTAGGGGATGGGTGGGCTCAGTATTTTTAGGGTTTGAGGGCCAAATCAAACCCATTATGGGTCTTAGGTTTGACCATATTTATTTTTGTCATAAAAAAAAAATCAAATTCATATTAAAAAAAAGATATATTTGTTTTCTCTTTTTGAATTTCTATTTTTCTAATCACTATAAGAAAATCTAGGGAGAGAAAAAAGTGTATAAAAAAAATATCCAATCGTACGTAGTTATAGGTAACGTACTACCAACGTGTACGTGTGCACGAAAAGGTACCTATTAGTTTCGAAGTAACCGTCTACATTAGAAGTTTCCTTATTATAGATTGTAAAATCTGCCGAAGAGAGAAAAGAAAGAAAAATCATTAATGTGGAATTAAGAGGGTCGATCGAGAGAATGAAGAGGAAGGCAAAGATAAACTCAGTCTTGGAGAAGAAACTCGAAGAACTCGAGTCTCTACGTGAAGCAATTACTTTTAACGATATTAATCCTAATCTCTACAACGAAATCAAACATGCAGTTCTATTCGCTAAGACCCTTTTAATGGCTGAGATTTTGTCGCGACCTACGGATATGGAAAGAGAAGAAGACAGTGAAGAGACGCTTGAACTTGCATACATGGCCAAGAGGCTAACCGAACTTGAGGAGGCTTTCAAAACGAACCAGTTATCCGGTCATGATAATTGTTTGGTGATCGAACCGGAAACGGGGAGTTTGGAAACTAATGATGGTGATGTCAACGGTGAAACCGGTTCGGTTTACTCGTGGGTGGAATCGTGTAAGAAGGAATTTGATAAACCAGAGGGAGAAGAAGACGCCGAACAGCGGCCATTGTTTGTAGATGCATCATCGGAAGAGAAGAGAGAGGTTACATTTCCGGCGGTGGCGGCCGTGATGGAAGAGGTGGTGGTTAGAGAAGTGAATGAGAAGAGGCGGTTGGGTTTTAGGGC